ATCCCTAAGGGTCGCAGGGAGAGCGCCAGTGCCCATGCCCCACACTCAGACACCGACCCCGTGCAGAGTGTGTGGACTAAAGTGTGGAGCCCTCCAGCCCTGTAAGGGCCCAGCGCACCCCTCGCCCATCCCGGGACCCTCAGAGGGCCCGGGAAAGGCGACGGCACATCACGTCCGGGGAGGGGGTCAGATGCCAACTGACCCACAACCCCCCCCCCCCTACAAATCCTGTGTTGCCCCAGCAAGCACAGACGAGGAGAAAGAGCCAGACATGTCCAAGAGATAAAACCTTATGAAGGGGCCTGGCGTCGACCAAGACGCCGCTGTGCATATATCCTCCACACTCACACCGTTGAATAAGGCTGTTGACACAGCTACAGCCCGTGTGGAGTGCGCACGAATCCCCGTGGGGCGCGCACGAATCCCCGTGGGGCAGGCTCTCCCTGCCTGTCCGTAGGCATGTGCAATGCACTCGCAGAGCCAGCCTGCCAGTCGTTTCTTGGACAGAGCCTCCCCGATCACCCCCGCCCCCGAAGCACACGAACAGCTGTTCGGTGCGTCTAAGGGAAGCCGTGCGCTCCACATAACATGCTAGCGCACGCACCGGGCAGAGGAGGTGCAGTTTAGCTTCCCTGTCCCCACCATGGGGGGGAAGACTAAAACCCCCTAACTGAATAGCCCTCTACTCCTTAGGCTCTTGGGCACAAAGGAGGGGTTCGGTCTAGATTTGGATACAGATCAACCTAATTCTTATTAGAAAACGTAGTGATCTGTGCATTAGGCTATACAGGGAGGAGGCGGGATTCTCCCCCCGCCAGCCAGATCCGTAAAGACGGAAAGCCCGTCCCCGAAGAGGTGGAGGGCGCCGCGGGCACGGGTTACTCTTACTCTGGGATAAATGCAATAGTCTTTACTGAATGCATTTTTCCCACACACACACATCACTCCAGAACTAGAGTTTACAAACGTAAACCTGTCCCTGAACGCACCGCGGCCACTCTCACGAGGGCCGCGCGCTCACGTATTAACGCTGTATTTCCCATTGCAACGGTGAAATGCATTAATCGGAGCTATTATACCAGGCAAGGTGTGTCTTCTGACAACAGCACACCGACAAGCGTCTCTTGAACCCGCACAGTGCTTTGACAGCACTCGGTTTATTCCACTCACGTGCACACGCCCACCTGCTGGCTCCCTATACTGGGGTTTACAGCAGGGGCGGGGAGTGTAGGACAGTGTTTCTTCCTCTGGGGATGGGCAAGAATCAGCCACGCTGCGATTACTCCTTATCCCGTGAGCAAGGAAATCGATCCAAAGAGCCCTTCCGTAAACACAGGGGCTCCCAGGAGATCAACACGATCCTCTTTGGAAAGTGCCACGCGGCGTGATATCCCAAGGACATCACACGGCGGGCAGCGGCGGCGGCCTGTGATGAAGTAGGGTCGACCCTATATCATGTGAAGCCACCGAGCACCGGTCCCCGGGGGAACCGGGCCTGGGGCAAGGCCCGTGGACCAAGCTACTTATTCGGCCTTGCGGCCCAATAATCGCTCTGACCTGGTGAGGCGGGGGCATCTCTAGCAATGAGTGAGTAGCCCACACACCCGCCGCCATGATCATCATCCAGGGAGAGTACAGCCCTGGGCGGTGGACTTCCATGGACGCCAGACCCGGAAGGAATGGCGAACGTGAATGGCACCGCCTCGGCCATATCCTGGTCCCCCAACCACTCAAAGCAAGGTGGTGGGGATCGGCGCCCGCTATTTCAGCCAGGGCACGAAGGACAGGCCCGGGTCTCTAGCAGTGGCGACTCCCTGGAGGTATGATAACTCTTTCTTCTTCTTTCAAACGTCTCAGTCTCTCGTGGAATCATTCAGGTAGGCCCGCCCAAGGCCGGCTACGTCTATAGAAGTCTCAGTGGATGAATGCTTGCATGATAAGGTAGTACCCATAGAGTCCAGTAGAGGGCGGAGCATAATATGAGACAGAGTTTCACTGTTCTGATTGGTTTCATTGATGCCTCTAAGGCTTTTGACCGAGTTAACCATCATAAACTGTTTTTAAAATGGAGACAAAGGGGTGTGCCTAACAGTATAATTAGGATCCTGGCTTATTGGTATGCCAACCAGAGCATGCGGATCAAATGGGGGAATGCAGTCTCTGCGCCATTTGGTGTTGGTAATGGAGTCCGCCAGGGGGTCTCCTCTCACCATGCCTTTTTAATATCTATATGAATGATCTATCAGATGATTTAAGTGTCTGTAAAACAGGGTGTGTGATTGGTAATGTGATTGTAAACCATCTAATGTATGCCGATGATCTGGCTATTGTTTCTCCTAGCAGTGCTGGTTTTCAACAGTTGCTAAATATGTGTTCTGATTACGGAGTCAAATTTGATGTTAAATACAATGCTAAGAAGAGCGCTGTAATGATCTGCAGAGCACAAGGGGATAAGAACCTTTGTTTTCCAACATTCTACCTGTCAGGACAGGTGCTGTCTGTTTGCTGTAAAACTAAGTATCTGGGACACATCATCACAGATGAAATGGCTGATGATGATGACATGTATAGACAGCGGCGTGTCTTATATACAAGCCAACATGTTGGCTAGAACATTCTCTTGGTGTTCAGATAAGGTTAAGGTGAACCTCTTTAGAGCTTATTGCACTCCTCTCTATACTGCCCCCTTGTGGGTCAAGTATAAGAAGGCGAGCCTCAAGAAGCTCCAGGTTGCATATAATGACTGTTTGCGTATACTGCTTAGAAAACCAAGGTGGTGCAGTGCAAGTGAAATGTTCTGTAACGCACGAGTCAACACGTTCCATGCTCTCTTGAGAAATCTGATGTACAAATTCATCTGTCGATTGAATGTTTCTCATAACTCTGTCATTATGCTGCTTTCAAATCCGTGTCTCAGTGCTGTACGATGCCAGTCACCTCTGTGGAAACATTGGTATCACTGCCTTTTTTAATTTATATTTGAGTGTTGTATGTCTTTTAATAATGGACCAAGAGTCTCTTCAAATAAAAGCTGATGTCAATGCTGCAAAGTCACACCTCCCCTGTATGATTCTATCCCACATTGAATACTGTTTTACAAACTGGTCGTTTGCTTGTGCCACAAACCTGAAACCCATAGAACAGCTGTACAAGAGAGCTATCAAGGTGTTTGACAGAAAGCCTTATTCATATCACCACTGTACCATCCTTGAGAAACACCATTTCTTAAGTTTTGACAATTTTAAGTCTTTTGAAAGCATGTGTTTTATTTATAAATGTTTAAATTTGTTGCACTTGATGTAGCTCTTTTATCTCCTCCCGCACTACATATCGTTGCTGCTACATTGTACTACCTTGTGGTAAATGCTTGTATGCTGCTCATGCTATTTCTGCATATCATGTATTTCTGTTTGCCAAGTATATAAATGTTATGTTCATAAATGTTGTATATGACAGGACTACGGATGGAAATTAGCTCAAAGCTCAAATCCGGCTCATTTACATTTGAAAGCATTATTTTGTTTAAAATGTTCATTAATGTGCATTGTCCCGGTTCAAATAAACAATTAAATTAAATAAAAAGAGCGATGTCATCTATTTTCTTCTCAAAATAGTTGACAAAATGGCAGGGCAGAAGGGAAGATGGGGGTAGGGGGCTGGGGGGTTGAAGAAGAGAGGGAAAGATGGAGAAGAGTGTTTTGGGTTTGGAGAAGCAGGATTGAATTACAGATTGAAAGAAAGTGTGTTTGGCTGTGGGAATAGAAAGAGGAAAGGAGAGCTTGATAGGATTGGAGGTCATCAAGGTGTTTTGATTTCCACCATTTCCTTTCAGCAGCCTTTAGCATGGTTCTGGACTCTGCTTTGCCCCGCTCTGTGTATGTGTGTGTGTGTTTGTGCACGTGTGCGTATGCTTGTGTGTGAGAACCCCGGCACTATAGAAACAAAAGTTGAGGATATTCATTATCGTGTTACATTTTATCAGCAGTGCTCATGACATGAATGCAGCTGAAACACTGGACAGAACTTAAAGTCAGGGTAACGATAGACTCGATGAAAATAAACAACCTCTCCATATTTTTTCTTGGACTAATATTTACAAAAGTCACGCCGATCTCTCGGCCTCACAGGAAAGTTGTGATTGGAAGAGGGTCCCTCTGTTATCACAGTGCTTTGCTAATCCAAGCACCTTTCACAGTTAATATAATGTTTTAGAGGATCTATTCCTGTCTGCAGTCCTAAGGCAACTTTCTAATTTGAACAACATCTTCAATGTTCTTACCTAACTTGATAAACAGTCATAATATCATAATTACAAAAATACGTTATTTTGTAAAATATGGTCATATGACTGTATTTCCAAACACAGTGTATTTAAGTTCCGATTCCTAAAAACATTAGTCTCTCACTAGTTAACTAGTAAAGGCATAGGTTCACTAGTTAACTTGTAGACATTTTGAGCCCCGTTAGTTAACTACTAAGGTCAAAAGAGGCGTCAACGCAGTTAACTAGTGAACATTTTGGCTCCACTAGTTAACTCATGAGTGATTTTGGATATTTCTAGTGAACTAGTTTGCTCTTTTTCTGCTTCTTTTTTAACTAAGTAAGATGTCAGAGCTTTTGCAGCGTAATAGTTGACTTGTAAGACTTTTAGTGTCACTAGTACAGTCAGAGGGCCACTAGTTCATCAGAAAAGCTGACTACTTGGGACTTTGGTGAGCTAGTGCCGCTCATGGCGTCACTAGTTGCAGAAAAAGAGTGACTAGTAAAATGTTTGCCAAACTTGTGACCATATATCTAACAAGTGCTAACAAGGAGCCAACTAGTGTGGCAACTGCCGTCTGATATCAAGGATATGGACCCTACCCGAGGGTGTGAGACTGTGCACAGGCTCGTAAGGGCACGACAAGTCAGTGAGGTCATCAGGAGAACTTTAGACGTAATCAGTAAGACCTTAAAATCATTCTAGAACAGACAGGTAGCCAGTGAAGAGAGACACTCACAGTTGTCGAAGCAGATGCGTCCGATGGCCCTGCCGGTGTTCAGCAGCATCTCCTGGTCGGTGCTGCTGAGGTGGGGCAGCAGCACCGTCACCAGGCCGGCCTCGATGCACGGCTCTCTGACTGCAGCTGCAACACACCAGGAACACCATCACCTGTCTCTCAGCTGAATCCTCTCACCAAGCTTGGGGAGTAACGGATTACATGTAACGGGATTACGTAATCAGGATTCTTTTTAAAAGGTAGCTGTATTACACAAAAAAATAACTGCCTGAATCTACTTTCTTTGCATTATTTGTTCTGTTTTTAATTCAGCAGGTGAACCTATATTTTCATAAAATAGTGTGTGTGAGCTTAACTGTGTGTAATAAACTAAAACGGAGCATTTTCTGTCAGCTCAGATGTTATTTCTGCTTTTTTAAACTATAGTATGTGCTCATGTGTTTCAGTGCTGGTGTGTCAGCTGCTGCCTCAATATGCTGAGTGAAAGACAGGTCAATACAATCATTTTTTATCCTAAAATATCTTGGTTTCTTCTTGAAAGGTCACATTGTTCTGTTGTCTTACATTATAATTAAAAACATCTTATTCATATTTAATTGTATTGATTTTCAATGCATTTGACATTGTGGTAATCCAAAAGTAACAGCAAGTTACATTACTTTTATATTTTGATTCAAAGATAAGGTTAATGCTTACATTTCTTTTTACAGGTAACTATTCATTGAAACGGATTACATGTTTTAGGTAACCCTCCCAACCCTGCATGCTAGTGCCATGCTGGATGTTAACATTACCCCTCCCCTCGGCTCCGCCCCCCCTCCTGTCCTCAGAGATCCCCTCTGCACAGTCACCTGACCCCTGCACTCCCCCACTGCACACCTGCTCCCCATTTCCTTTATTCATCTTACACTATACCAGCCTGTTTGTAGGCTGTCGGACAGCACAACCTTTGATTCCCACCTGTCTTTCTGCAGTTGTGCTACCTGTTTCAAGCCTGCTTTTTCAATGAGCCACGTATGAAACGACAACTGGATAAATTGACTCTGCTCAGGAAGATTGTGTGATATAATGGAAAGCTCTGGAACAGCTACTGAATACATCTCTTGTCAACAATATGGTGGCATAAGGATCAGTTGTGGTAGCATAATTGCCTAAAGTGTCTAGATGTATTCAAATAATGATTTTCCTGCTGTCTTTGAGTTGCAGCTGAAAAATCCCTAATGTTATTTTCTTTTATATAATCCAAGACAAAAAGACGTGCTAACACCTGTAGCAGTATCCTACCTTCTCTGGCCATCTCTGCCACCAGCAGCGCCACCTGGCAGCTCAGGGGGCTGCTGCTCCGTAGGACCTGGGCCAGGGAGGGCAGGACCCCACTGCTGGCTATCTCCACAGCAGCATCCTTCTCTGTGGACACATGTTCATTTGTTCAGAGCAATAAAGACAGGATATCCCATCACAGCATTTACTGTTAACATGCAAAGTTAGTGTTGGCTAATGGTACACAGTAAAGCCCAGTTCTGACTTAAATATATATAACAAATAATATAACTGTAGGAGCTACGGTACAAGGTATCTGAACTGTTTGCAACCTGCTCTAATATAGTGTGTGTGTTTGTGTGTGTGTGTGTGTGTGTGTGTGTGTGTGTGTGTGTGTGTGTGTGTGTGTGTGTGTGTGTGTTACATGACTTACTCTTTTCCAAAAGAGCAGCCAGCAATGTCTCCAGAGGAAGCTTCAGCTCCTCCTCAATCAGCTCTGTACTCACACTGAGAGCCTGTAGAGCCCCGCTCAGAGAGTCTGCAATACACACAACACACACAACACACACACACACACACACACACACACACACACACACACACACACACATACACACCCCGAAACAACAACAACATAAGTTATGCTTCTTTATGCCACTTTATATAACTAACACATGAACATAAGACTGTAGTTTAATTGAAAACAGCGTCTCCCTCAGATGGACGTGGTTTATGTTCAACTTCTTAAAAGTAATTGCAGTATTTCAAATTATTTGTGAATGCTATAGTGTATTAAAGCATAACCATATATTATTTTATAGTCTGTGCTCTGGGTATACCTATCAACTAAACCATAGCGTGCTTCATGTTTTGTACACATTGTACAAAACGTGTGTGTGTGTGTGTGGCAGACATAAAACTCATCTCTTTCGACTCCACTTCGAGCGATATAACTATTAACAAAGCACTTATATACTAATAAAGGACTGGCTTATCTAAAGCCAGTTGAGTAGCACTTGAAATGTTTGGCTCTATGAAACCTGATGTACTTTATGATTCTGTTTTCTCCAAGTTTGTATCTTCTTGGTCGAATGTACTTATTGTAAGTCGCTTTGGATAAAAGCGTCAGCTAAATGTAATGTAATGTATGTGCTAGAGATTAGGAAAGGAAACGAAAATCCTGTACAAAGCAATTTTCCCTCCATGGATAATGTATATTTAAAACATTTGTATAGCTGTAACAGTTTATATGTTAAGGGTGGACGAGCATTAATGCTCGACTTTCCAAGTTTTAATCTTGTCAATCTTGGTCATCCAGGGTTTGTAGAGTGTATGTACTTGGAGGTTTACAAGGTTGTTGTTGTTGTTGTTGGTGAAAGGGTTGAATAAACTGATCCCAGTTTCTTTAGTCCCAGGATCATTCAACCTGAAACATCTACAGTATCTCATCTACTGATACAGACAGCTCAGACTCAGACACACACACACACACACACACACACACACACACACACACACACACACACACACACACACACACACACACACACACACACACACACACACACACACACACACACACACACACACACACACACACACACACACACACACACACAACACACCACACACACACACACACACACACACACACACACACCACACACACACACACACACACACACACACAACACACACCACACACCACACACACATACACACACACACACACACACACCACACACACACACACACACACACACACACACACACACACATCACACAACACACACACACACACACACACACACACACACACACACACACACACACACACACACACACACACACACACACACACACACACACACACACACACACACCACACACACACACACACACACACACACACACCACACACACAACACACACACACACACACACACACACACACACACACACACCACACACACACACACACACACACACACACACCACACACACACACACACACCACACACACACACACACACACACACACACACACACACACACACACACCCACACACACACACACAAAGGAGGAGACACCTGCAAATGGTAATCACCCAGGATAATCCCTACTAAGTCAAATGAAAATAGCCTGCATGGAGGGGGCTGATACACAGCCTGCTACGTCAAGATCCAACACCAATCTCCTTCTGTGTGTGTGTGTGTGTGTGTGTGTGTGTGTGTGTGTGTGTGTGTGCGTGCGTGTGTGTGTGTGCATGTCCGTGTGTCTGTGGGCTACTTTGAGTACTTGACAAGAGAGTAGGCAATTTACAGAGAGCTGTGAGGGAGTCCCTAGAGTGCTTATTATAAATGCTGCAATTACACTGTATGTTTCCCCGTTAAACGACACAAAGGCCTGTGTATTGACATATGCTGTATATGCAGGGGCTTGACACAATGTCAGCAATACCTGCAAACCTCCAAAACAACAGTCCAGCAATAAATCCCATCACTGACTGTCAGACTGTCTGAAAGCTGATGGTCCACCTTCACCATCACTTAATATCTGTATGTTTATGATGCTGCCTATGCGGGCCTCTGATCTACAGTTTAAAAGACACATTGCAGTAGCAGCAGCTTCAGATGAGGCTGTGTTGTTGTGCGAGGCTGTGTCCTCCTCAACCTGCAATGCATGACTGAATAGCTTCTAGCTGAACTGTGCACTCTTACTGCCCAGTGAGACAAACAGCTGGGTGTTCTGGCATTGTCTGTGTGGGAACAACGACACACACAAAATATAAAAACATTTGACATTGTCTAAGTCCATGAAATTATGTTTGGAATTAATGTTTTTTTTATTTTGAATTGTATGAATGTTGGAACTGTCTCTTCTCAACACAAATGAATTCAACACCAAGTGACGCTCTTAGAAACTAAATGTGGTTTAGGTTGAACATTTCAACCATATTTTTGAAGCAGTTTAATTAATATGCTGAAATATAAATCAACAGTGAAATCTGACATGTAATCAGTTTTGTTTCAATGTGCCTATACTGCCAACTTCTTCTGCATAAAAAAATTAATCTAAATGAAATGAGGTCTGGGGACAAACCACTGAAGGTGGATATGGCTATGTTGTGGAGAAGGCGTGAGCTATGATGTATAATTGTAACTACGGACAATGCTAGACTCATCCATAGCTGCAATATTGCCTGGGAAATTGTTCTATTGATTATAATAATGTATCCATCTACCTATCCATCTATCTATCTATCCATCTATCTATCTATCTACCTATCCATCTATCTACCTATCCATCTATCTACCTATCCATCTATCTATCTATCCATCTACCTATCCATCTATCTACCTATCCATCTATCTATCCATCTATCTACCTATCCATCTATCTACCTATCTACCTATCCATCTATCTATCCATCTATCTACCTATCCATCTATCTACCTATCTACCTATCCATCTACCTATCCATCTATCTACCTATCTACCTATCCATCTATCTATCTATCTTCACCTTGTACATCCTTATCCATGCACACACATTCACACACTCATGCCTGGTACTGTGATGCCATCAACACCATACCACATATGTATCATACGTCATCACCTACATTATATGGAACCACACACACACACACACACACACACACACACACACACACACACACACACACACACACACACACACACACACACACACACACACACACACACACACACACACACACACACACACACACACACACACACACACACACACACACACACACACACACACACACACACACACACACACACACACACACACACACACACACACACACACACACACACACACACACACACACACACACACACACACACACACACACACACACACACACACACACACACTAAGGGATGTCAATATGCAGCTACTCACCAATGTCTGTCATGGCTGCTGGTCGACAGGCTCCTCTTTGCTGGCTCACCGCCTCTGCCTGTAAGAACTGTGTGTGTGTGTGTGTATCTGTGTGTTTGTTTGGCTAGCAGAGAGCTACACTCCTTTCTTAAGGTCAGGTGTCCCCCAATGCTGTCTCCCACTCGGTCTGTCGTTTCTCTCTCTGCCTCGCTCTCGCTCCCTCAATCCCATTATCACTCAACACGATCTCTACCGCCCCCCCACCCGCACACACTGCGCCTGCGTTCTCTGTCTCTGCTCATTTGCTCTCTGTTTCCACCTAGCTGTTTCCCTCTGACATTCAGACTGCAAGATGTTGGACTTATCATCTGCTGTATATAACAACGTGTGTGATGATAAGTGACGACCAAATAATAAGAATAACACCAATAATAAATAATAGGTAATCCCTAAAAATAGCGTGCACATAATATTGTATTTTAAGTGGAACATTTTTTCTCACTATATTTTAAGAAACCTTATTTCAAATAGTTGGAAAAAAGCAAGCCTCTATTTCTCACATGAGATTTAAAGAAAACATGTGTTGCATAAAGACGCAGGCTCTGTGGAGAAATAGTTTTTACCTGGATGTAATTTTATTCACTTCTTGAGTCTGACTGGCTTCCCTGTGGGTTTACTCCATCCAGACCCCAGCACCTTTAGATAAATGCACTCACCCCCCTTGTATGTAGCATGTAGTACAAGCCCTATAGAATGACTGCCCTGTTGACAGTCAAGGGCAAACATGGAAAAGAAAGGAACTCCTTTGTCCTCTTCCTTAATCATCCGTATCAGAGGAGAACAAAAAGAACAAAAGAAAAGCAACAGATAACCTCTAACCCCCAGTGCTTTCTCCGGTAGGTTTGTTATCGATCAAACAATGAGAGTACACCTTCAGTCAGGAGGTTCAGGTGCGTGGGGGGTAATTACATAGACTGTATTTGTGGGTAATTACTGTTCTGCCCTCCAGCCAGCTGGGGAAGGGTTCTGGTTTGCTTTAGCATTGCTCTCTGGTTGGATGTGGTATTGCAGCAGCATGAAAAGGAATGTAAAAGTAGGACCAGGGAGCTGATCAACATAGTTCTCCTAATATGTTGCAATCTTTTAAATGGATCCATTGTAAGCATTGGCTGTACGTTATGTTGTTTGCTTTGCAAACATATATTTTGGTATTAAAGAGTAAGTTCATTAGGTTATTGCTAGATACTGGCTCAACCGGTTATACTCAGTGTTGGGGTAGTTACTCAAAATAATGAAATAATTACACATTACTAGTTACTTGAAAAAAAGCAATGCCTTACTTTACTAAATTACTTTACTGAAAGTAAATAGTAAACACTACTAGTTACATTACTTTTGGACTACTCTAACATCACCTGAGATGCACCCTAAATAATAGACACATAGCAATAAGAAAGCTCATTTATGCCCAGCACAAATCCTTAATGTGATAAGGACAGTTCTGAACACAGACCTCTGTTCCTGCTCTTGGTTTGTGTGTTGTAATGGTACTATTTTATAATGTATAGGGCGTAGGGATACGTGTGTGACGTCAGTCCTGTTTGGGGTAATGCCCGGACCTAGTTTTATGCTTTGGTGTGCTTTAGACATGAACGTGTCCAGTACAGTCTCCGGTGTTATGTCTCAAGAATATCTTTATTAAACAGTGAAAGACAGCCGCTGTCTCCTAATCATTTCTACATAACATTACACGTCGTCAGAAGTCGTCGCAGGATGGCCAGTTCCCACCTCCGGACAACTTTGATTTATCTCGCCCAGAACAATGACCTGAATGGCGCCAGAGGTTTCACCGCTACAGGATAGCAGCGAAGCTACATAAAGAAGAGGGAGAGGTACAGGTTTGTACGCTGCTCTACTCGCTGGGGAAAGAAGCGGAACAAGTTTTCAAGAAGATGATGAGAAGGATTCAGATAATTAGAAGACTGTTATGAACAAATTGGACAATTACTTTGTGCCGAAGGTAAACACCATTGATGAAAGCGCTCGTTTCCATCAGCACACCCAGAAGCCAGGTATATACATATTTTTATTAGGGCTGTCAGTCGATTAAAATAGTTAATCGCGATTAATCGCAAATTAATCGCACATTTTTGATCTGTTCTAAATGTACCTTAGAGGAATATTTTTCAAGTTTGTAATACTCTTATCAACATATGAGTGGACAAATATGCTTTATGCCAAAGTTTATTATCATTTGAACAATGACAAATATTCTCATGAATATTAAACACAATAACCTCTGAACATTACAAATATTCGCCTCAATTCAACCTGGAACCTCTCTCATTCAATACAATGTGTGTGTGTGTGTGTGTGTGTGTGTGTGTGTGTGTGTGTGTGTGTGTGTGTGTGTGTGTGTGTGTGTGTGTGTGTGTGTGTGTGTGTGTGTGTGTGTGTGTGTGTGTGTGTGTGTGTGTGTGTGTGTGTGTGTGTGTGTGTGTGTGTGATGGATCGTTGGAGCTATGTGCAACTCAAGGCATATGCTCGAACGGGAGCTGCCTGGACGCTGCAATCATGTTGCGCACTATCCGTGCTGAGTGTGCTGACTTTTCGTACAATGTCCCACTGTCTGGCTACCTGCATAAAGTCAAGTGCTCAGTCGGCACAGTTGTGGCGAAATGTCGCTCCTCTGTTTTCATTTAAACAGCTCCATATCCGTTAGCGCAGCTAGCTAGCACCAGATGCTAACAACAACAATGCACGTAAGGTCTCTCTCTCGGGCCACACATACACACACCCTCCCGGTCCTCCCAACAGCCAGTCGGTGCCTGCCGGTGAGCGTGGAAGTGTGGTCTGCCACAAGCGGGCGGCAGGAGCGGGGCTGTCAGCATCAGCTTGTAGATGGTATTTTAAACTCGATGCGCTCTGAAACTACGGGGCGGTCGAGGACAAAAAATACACATGCGTTAATCGCGTTAAAATAATTAGTGGCGTTAAAAATGTTTTGCGTTAACGCGTTATTAACGCGTTAACTTGACAGCCCTAATTTTTATATATATTTGTTTTTGTATTCGGGATTGTGGGAAACGGTATTTCGATCTCTCTGTCTGTACACGCAAACTGAAAGATTGACAATAAAGTTGACTTTGACTTTGACTCACCAAGCTTGCAGGTGCAAAGGTGTTTTCTCTCTTGGACACAGCAAGTGGTTTCTGGCAGATCCTCCTGGGACCCAGCCCATTGAAAATGTCCACTGTAGTGGACATTTTGTTCACATGCATCTCCTTTTACTCTTTTGAGCTACTCTATCAATCCCTGATGTGCTGCATAGAGGACATCCTGGTCTTTCCAGTGATATGTCATTGGTTAAAATGGCATGCTGGGAAGTTCCTCTTTCTTTTCATCCAAAATGGCTGGCATACCAAAAACAAAATGGTATAGAAGCAGGAGGAGAAGTCAAATATTGTTGAATAATTGTAATTTTTACCATGAAAATCATATATGTGAGGAACTATATAATTAGTTCTGAAAGCAATTAAATAATTAAAGTTTTCAAATAACAGTCCATTCTAGTGGACGTCAGGACCATCTTCATGGACTTTATGACTCAAGATTGTTGCAGGAGACGGAACTGAAGCAGACATTTACTGCACCAGATAGTTCAGGGAGATTCAGATGTTGAGCTCTCAGATGATGAGAGAGGTGAGGCTTTCACACCTGGGATAGAAGAGGGTCAAGAAGAATGGGGGGAAAGATGCAGGAGGCTCCATGAGCGCACAGATAGATACATCAGTGGCGTTTTCTCCTGGAGGCCAAGGGAAGCCAGGCTTCCCCTGTTTTTTCGGATTGTAGTTATAATTTGAATAAATAAATAAAAACACTTCGTTTGGTTTCGGTAATTTTTCTGTGCTGTGTGTTGCTGCCGGCCCGTCGCTCCCCCGTTCTCAGTGAGTATTTTATAAATCATGAAACAGCGCCCCTCTACATGTTATGGTGAAACAGTAGATTGCACTCTCTGTTGCGAGAGGAGGCCAGCCGAAATTGGCTTCCCTTGGTGAAAAAAAATGGAGGGATTGACCAATCAGCCAAGGCTCACGTGATGCCCCTACCAACCTGTGATTAGTCAGGGCCATGCCAAGGGAAGACCGAGGCGGCTGGCTTCCCTTGCCTCACAATCCAATCAAATCGCATCAATTTAGTGTTGCAGTGACGCATCCTAAAATCCGGAAGTAAGCTGCGCTCGGTTTCCCTCGACAAAAAGGCAATGGGATTTCGGAAAATAGCTTGAAATAAGGTCAGTGGATAACGAACCTGTTAGATAAATGCATGTTTTGTTAAGTCGGATAATATCCACATGTCTACCCTACTTTTATAATTTTCGAATCATAAATCTAATCGATAGAAGATAGATAGCGTCACTGCATCACTCTCACCGCCGTTAGAAAGTAGCAAGCAATTGAAGCAAGTGCAATTATGGAGGGTGGAGATGTGGAGTATTTAATCAAAAAATAATTGTACTAAACTTCCGCTACAGCAGCAACAACAAATACAATCTGATGACAGGCCGATGCCCAAACTGGAACTGTGTACAGCGAGGAAAAAAGGAGCGAATCGAACGTAAAACGTTAAAGGTCTCCTGATTTAGTTTGTGCATGAATGCTTATTAGAGTTTGGGCTGGAGAGTGCGTGCGGACCTGTCGCTTAGATAACAGGCGTGTGTAAATCCTGCATATGATACAAATGTGTGTAAAATGATACCGGGTGCTGTAACCTATGGAGGACGGAACATGACTTAAGTATAAATAAATAAATGTATGAAGAAATACAGGAATAAATAAATAAATACGTACATAAATAAATAAATACAGGAATAAATAAATACAGGAATAAATAAATACAGGAATAAATAAATGACGAAATAAATACAGAAATAAATAAATGTTGAAATGAATACACAAATAAATAAATAAAAGAATAAATGCATAAATAAATATGGAAATAAATACATCAATGTATAAATAAATAAATAAAAGTCGAAAATAAAACAGAACACACGTTATTATATATCTTTCATTTATTTCTACATTTACGCGACATACATTTATTTATTTATGTGTCCGTATGCTAATGAGGTGGGCGGTCCTAACCTCAGTCTGAAGCAGGATTCGCCAATTGTTGGAGCCAGGCAGAAGCAATAGATTCGTGGCAAGTCACATCTGTACATTCTGTGTACATTGTCGGCAACTCGCTAATAATGGCTTCGGCTGGAAGGGCGCTGGCAGACCTTCTGCGGGATGCGGCTAACCAGCTTGAAAACTGTAAGTGACTCATGTTTTGGTCTAGTGTAAGACTGATATGACAATATAAAAAAACTGATCTGTGTGTTAAAATGCCAATGTACAGTTTTGTACCCAATGTGGCGCTATGTTATGTTTTGTGCAGCACCAAGGACCGCTAACGCGCCAGTTTCGTCTCCTCCTCCTCATCCGTTACATAACGGGACTCCCAGACACCCAGTGGACGGTAGGTCTTTGCATCAAATTATTTGTAATGCAAATCCGATCAGTTTACTAAGTTTATATCGCCAATGACAAGTTATTTGATTCAGTTTCTGTCCACCAGCTTGAAGGGATCATTATATTTATAGTGTGTGATGCTAACGCTAACCAACATTTCCCCCCTGGATTCTCGTTGAATCATTATTTCCTTGCACTCAATATTGCTTATCTTCTTAACTTGATCCTAGCCGAAGTTTCAAGACTGTTTGGCCCCTACATGGGAGGGAGGAGGACGGCAGGGCGGCAAACCCTTTCTGGTCCTGCACACCTGCATTCTTATACCCATTTATTCTGTTGCCTTGAGGACAAGAATGCAGCCTTAGTCCCCAACCGATACGCCAAAGAAAGACTCGCTGCTGCTGGCTTTGGTGAAAAACGGCTCACATTTAAAGGTCTGTCAGTCATTAGAATGACGATTATCAATCGCTCTTTCCTTTTCTGTCTATTTTTTATGGTAAATGTACATTTGTGATATATAAATATATTGAGTTACCCTTACAATCATAACATTATCTTTATGTTAGATCTCTTATGTGTATCATCTATTTCTAGGCAGCCATACAGATTCAAATGAATTCCTCGAATTCTTGATGGATGCCTATCCAAAACTGCGGAACGGTGGCGGTTTCGAGTTGCTAAAAATATCTGGCACTACGAGAAGTCGCCACTTGATTGTGATCCCCTGTCCCAATGAGGGTTACTATGTCAGATATTTGAAGGACCCTCAGACCCAGATTGGCCATTCTACAGTTTTCATTAGACCAATGCAAAGAACCCTGAATTTGGACCCTGTAAGTTCCTCACTTCTATAGTGGTGTCACAATATTAAAGTGGAATCTGTGACTTACAGTAACATAATTGTTCGCTTGTGATGTAGTTTAAAACTATTTTGTTTACAGGCATGTCGATCAGAAGGCGACAACGTGTTAATTGGACCAAATCAGAAATGTGTCATCTGTGGAGAGGAGTTCCCCTTTTCCAGAATGAAGGATCACAGCAATAACTGCATGAGGTATTACTCTCTACAGAACTAAACATCACATTCGCCAGGCACACTGCAACTGCATGTGTAGACACACAATAACCAATAAGCATAAGGCTGTGGGATGCTGCAAATGGATGTAAAATATTTTGACATATCAGCACATCTGAGGTTTTATAATTATGGGGCCAGATATTAGTACTTTTTGTTCCAACAATCCCTCTGTAACACCATATTCTGCTGTCCTCTATAATACATTTAAATATGAAAGATATACATTCTGGATGTTGGTTTTGAGGAAAAGTAACATTTGGTTTACTTTTCATTCTATGTATATGCCCATCTTTTTCTAGAGTGTGATATGTAATGTAAAGTATACTAGACCGAAATAACAGAAATAACCTCTTTTTACACTAGACCATCACAGAGCAGCGGTGAGGTACAGATTGAGTTGACAACTGAAAGGGCCTCCGGAAGTCAAGTTAGATTTGAAAGCACGTTCACAGGAGCACAGGGAAATGAGACAACAAGGGCAAGGAACACAAGACACTCGGTGCCACCTCAGGAAATGTTGCCTTCTCCTGAGGTAGTTGACATCGATCCCACTGAGGAAAGTGGCTTCTCTGGTGTGTAACATCCTTTATTAAGTACATCATGTATTGCAATAAGTTGTTGCTCTCTACATTTCACTTGATCCAATATTAATTTGGAAACCTTTTAAACTATTTTTAGATTGGAGAATAGCGCCAGATCCCACAGAGGCAGCAAAGATGTTTAAAGAAGACATTTTAAGCCAGCATGCAACTGGAAAATCCTTGTGTCTTACTATGGATCTTGGAGACAGTGCAGAGGAAAGGGAAAGAGCAGTCCTTACTTTTTATAAGAAGGCAAATGTTGAGTGGGCTTGCCCCTTGACATGCACACTTAAGGGTAATTCGGTTACAAACAAAATCCAAGATAAAAAAATGAACAAACCATATTTTCGTTAAACTGATGTCTGTAGTGTGTGTTTACATTTTTAAGGAGATCCAGCCATTGGTGATGGTGTGACTCTGCATTTCTTTGCAACCATCATATCAAAACTTCAGGCTGGTTTTGAGATGAAGTTTGGTAAGTAAATATTTACTATGGCTGATCGCTGGGTCTCAGCCACTAAGTTATGTGTGTTTTTGTACCAGTTCCAGGCTGAAAACAGATCTGTCCCTTAACCCCAGAAAACACAACGTATTCCTAAAACCTGATGTGATTGTAGCTGCTGTGAACATGTAGGTTTCTACAGGATCAACCAGTATCCAGTGGCAGTTTGATCATTCCTTTACTAATGCTTTGTGATAGTTGAATATCTATGTCCTTTACTTTACTATCAATTTACTTTGACTGTTTTCCTATATTTGCAGTGCCTGGAGGAACTCTTCTTTTTGAAGGAGAACAAGATCATCTGATTCCCTCCACTTCTCATCTCCTTTTGGAGAGTGACTTCTTTGTTGTTGCTGGCCGAATGATTGGACATTCATTCCTCCATGATGGGCCATGCCTAGGTGGACTGAGCCCAGCTGTCCTGCATGTGCTCTTTGGTGGATCCCCGGAAGAAGCCACAATAGATATTAAGGACTGTGTTGACCTTGATATCCGTGAGACAATCAAGTTGGTATGTTCAATGTTTTTCTAACCTATTTTATTATTCAACCTTTGGATATTATTTATTTAGCTGATCTACTTTCAGATACTGTTAACATCAAGTGGCTACACTTTGCACCAGCAGGAGTTACTGAAGCATTATAAAACACCATGCACTGATATATTAAATATCATTAGAACACTTACAGATGTCCTCCTATAAGATGTTTTTTGACAAAACATAGCTTTTACAGGTTACCAACTAACATGCTGATTATAAGTTAAACTTCTTATGTTGTATCAAAGTTGAATGTTTATACAAGTATTGAGAAATTAACGTTTCTTATCAAATTCATTCTACTTGCCATTATTAGCTGGAGGGAACAGCAGAGTTATCATCAGAAGAAAAAAAGCTCATCAATGAGTTGGCACTGTCCTGGGATTTGCCTCTAGTCACATGTGACAACAGGAGATGGCTATTTGATAAACTGATCCTCCATGCTGTGAGTATTCTTAACAGGTCATATGAATCAGACTGACTAATCAGAGTTGAAGTTTTGAAGTAGGACCTCATTTTGGCATATCACATTTGAGCTTTTTTGTTAAATACATATTTGGATGTTAATACGTATTAAAACATGCTTATTGGGCTATTAGATCAATCAGGCTGCTTTGCTTTTCTACTGTGATGCAAATATTGTGCAGGTCCTTGGAAGAACCTCCAGACAAGTCAAGCAGTTACGAAGGGGTTTAAAAGAGACACTGATCTGGCCTCTGCTGACGGAGAGGAAAGACGCGATTCCCCTTCTCTTTCCAAGAGCATCTGATTTGCAGTGCACACCACGGGTAAGTGATCTCATGCTGCTCAGTCAAATCCTTCCTCCTAACTCACAGGAGTTAGAAATTGGGTTTATTTACTACTCTCAGACCTACATTGCTTTAAGTTTATTAAAACAAACATTCACCTACGCAAACATATTTTGAAATGAAATGATGCTACTTGCTGCTTAAAAGGAGCTAAACCAATAGAACAACTGTATCTTTAGACTACTCTGCTGCTACACAGCAAAACCTGCAGTTTCTTGTATGTTCTGTTTATTATTGTGCTTTCACTGGGCTCCTTTCAAAACGAAATCTGTCAGATGGTGTTGGAGAAGATAAACTGGCCCACACAGGATGAGGATGAAGACAGTGAAGTCTCTTTGGAGGATTCCTGTAGGCTCACAGGATTCCTGCGCACATTTATTGAGATGGGTAAAACAACGTCTTCAAGCTTTGTTTACTGAAAGTTTGTAATTATTATAACGAAAGCTGCGCTTCCTCTGTTTTTATCTTTAAAGCTACAGTAACAATCCAAGGCGTAATTTAAGTAACATTATTGTTATTTAACTATTAACTGAAAGCAATTATAATAAAATGAATTTATTCTCTGTTTTATAAAGCATCTCCCGTTATCCTTGGGAAACTTGTGCAGTTCTGGATAGGATGGAATGTGCTTCCTAGACATGGCCTGAATGTGACCGTGGTGGAGAGCAACTTCCCCAGCTCTTCCACATGCTTTCACCAGCTGAAACTTCCAGGACATTACAAAGAGTACTGTATGTTTGAAAGGGACATTCTTGCTGCTATTTGGAGCACTGAAACTGGGTTCGGGATGGTCTGAAGAGACGGACACACCTTAGTACTAGATTTGTTGTCTTTTGTTTGGCCGGCCAAAAATGTATGTTTTCAGAGAGGAAAAAAAACTCAGTTAATGCCTATACTCCGGCCAGTTTGTGTAACACTGAAAATATATAAAGATAAACATGCTTTCCTTGTTATTGCACATAACAAAGAAAGCATGTTTATCTTTATATATTTTCAAAGTTTTAAATTGATATTCGTTACAAAATGTTCATTAACAGTAACAAATGTATATTTCTTGATGCATTACAGTAAGTGTTGATTCACAACAAGCATATGGTTCAGTGCAACACATGTTTCAAATGACTACTGAACGTAACTTCATTACCATCTAATTTTTATTGTATTAAAATCGAAATATACTGAATCTTGGTACCAGCGTCTTCATGTAACTCAGTCAAATATTGTAACCTAATCGTCCTAGTCGAAACTTTAAAAGACTACATTTCCCACAGCAACAGACTTTTGATACACACACACATTTACTGTAGCATTTCAGTCAATAAGCCCACAGTTTGTACATAGACATTCCACACATTGGACAGAGGGCCATCAGGGTCTGGAAGTCTTTCCACTTCCTGGTCAGTCAGTGAACGTTGCAGCTGAACTTCAGGAACCATAACATGAGGCAGGCGATGAGCACATGGTCCAGTCCAGTCAACTCCAAACTCAATGTCAACCTGCAATTGCAAGAGCTAAAGTTAGTCAACCAAAATCAAAGTTTTAATATATTTGTCAGTTAATTCATTTTATATAACCTAACATTTTGTATCATCTCCTGGAATTCCTGATTAATGTCTCATGAACAGCTGACATCAATCAAATCATTAGAGAGCAGAAAGCCCTGATGTATCATTATCTTCCTTAACCGCTTGTTCTGGTTGATCACAGCATTTTAGGAATACCTCATAGAAGTGTTTAAAGTGCCGATGATATGCAGAATAAAATAATTCCATCACATTCAGTTTCCTCGACAACAGGCCACTATTTGTTACATTGTGAAACTATACTCACTTGTATTATTTGTTTTAAACAGTTTGTGTAATGACAGAAAAAGTGGGTATTAGTGTTAACATGGTCCCATGTAGGAAAGTAAAGTCAAAGTCAAAATAAAACTATTGAATACAATCAAGCCTGTATATGTTCCTGCTGGGCCTCACGCTCATGGCGAGTCCACAGTTGCAGTGGGGACCGGTTTCCCTCAGTGCTTAGTCGGTGGCAGTTCCAGCCTTGCTGGAAAAACTGCAGGTGCTTCTGTATGTGGGGCACAAAGCACCAGTGCAGAGCATAGAGATGCACTTCACAGTCAGGATTGAGAAGGCCTTCTCTCTCTAGGTTGAAAAACATTGTGTAGAAGAGATCCAGCACTCCTACATAAACGTCTCTCCAGAGCCTTTCTATCCTTTTGAGGAAAAAGGAAGGAAAATATTTAGTCTGCTAAGTGAACAAAAAAAAATAACTTACAAATATCACCTTTCACCTACCATAAATGGTAAGTAAATTTAGAATTGAATTACATTAATTAGAAGCTAAGTATTAACATTTTTGCCGATTTCAATAGGAAAATGTTCCTGATTAAGTGGCAAGTGCACAATAATGCCTCTGGAAAAAAGCTGGAAATTGGATTTAGCAAAAAACATTTTGCTTGAGCAAAGTTCATCAAACTTGGGTGAGGTTTTTATACTGTAAGCTTTGTTGAAACTGGATCAGGAAATATATCAGCTGAACATACTATGGATGTATAAAAAAAGACGGACTAATGCCATATTTATGCCACACTAACTGTTGTTGTTCAATATTAATGTAAGGTTCTCTTGACTGGAAAATACATTCAAAATCCAAGTTCCAACAGTAATTTGCCCGGTCATGCAACGTGCTGGGACTTCCACTAAATAGATGTTTGAAAAATATTGTTATCCTTCTTGTCAAATTATACAGTTGGTGTCATAATTATAGTGTTTGTATTATAGAAATATAACTTTTTTATTTCTATGGTTTTATCTCACAGAGGAAGACGAACAAAAATACAATTAATAATAGCTAAAGACATATAGTTGACATTGCAATCTTTACCAAGGACTTAATTTGATAAAAGTTTGACTTGAAGTTTAAGGTACCTTTGATTATGGACAGTCCTGCCAGCAATGTGTGAATTCCTGTTCTCTCCTCGGTTTGCCACCATGTAGCGTGCAACGTCAACATTTTCTCCACCTTTATCTGACCTCACACGTGATGGCACACCGTAGACATTGGCGGCTTCCAAAAAGCTTCTTAAAACTGTTGCTGCCCGATTGTTGGTGGCAGCACTCAAGTACACGATGAGACGACTAAAGCCGTCAATACCACCATGCACAACAAAACGCCACCTAAAGGGATATGTATAGGCACACATTAAGGTCAATCCACTAATGTATGTACAGACATTTACACATTTTAAAAGGTGCCTTATCCTACTAAAAGTTATAATTACAAAACATAAATCATCTTAATTTTGATAGTAAAAGTAATTTGCATGCAGAGGAATTTGGTGCAATTAATCATTTGATACATTTCATTTATATTTCTTCTTGCAGTGTTTTAACTTGTTTTTATGTCTACAGAATATTGTATGTTGCATTGTTAGAGGAGACTGAGACTTCAGATTTTCATAACCAACCAATAAAAAAAGCTATCATGCATATGACAATAAAGCCTTTGAATCTTGAAGTCTGGTTTGCATTGAAGCTGATTGATTATAAGAACACTTTAGATGGGCCCATCTTTTGTAACTGTAGTGAAGTGGATGTTTGAGCAATGCTTGAGTGTTAATGATTATACTATACCTAATCAGTTTGTGATTTCCGTCGATGTGCCATAAACTGTTCGGTGCTGGTACAAAGTACTTCCTACGCCTTCTTGGGTTCAGCTGCAGAGTGCGAATCAAAACTCCACCTGGATCAACACGCCGCATGGATTCCTGGACACGCTGTCCTGTTATATTCGGGGAAATGCAGAGATATGGTGTACTGCAAGTAACATAATGAAAAGTAAAGCATTCCTAAATATGCCAGAATAATGTGATTCATTATCAAGTAGTAAAAAAAAAACACTGCATGGAGGATTATTATAATAATAACAATCCCTTACTTTGTATGCGTGTCCCTGTGCATTCAGGTACCCCACCATCATTTTGTATCCAGAGTTGGGATGATGCTGTAGAATTTGGGTAACAGTTTCATCCAAACTGTTGCCATCTAACAGAGTTAATAGATCTTGGACCCTGATCATCAAAAATAACGAAACAATAGTAAGTCACAATAAACAATAGTCACCTTTTGCACTGTACAATCAAAACACATCAGAATGAGTGTGTTGCTCTGTACTAACCTGCATTGAAAGATGTAGGTGTCATCTGAAACAAATGAGCTGGTCTCTTAAACCTCATTACTATTATTAGGCCTACATCATGTCTGAGGTAATGGTACCTTTGCTTTGTGTACAAAGCATGTTTGTATCTTTGCCCCGACACATGTCTATCTGATGTATTGGTTTCAACATATAAATGGCCTATTACCATTTTAATAAATATGTAAACAAGTAGGCTAATTTGGATGGAGAAAATGTAGGCTAATGAAACGTTATCATTACTAAACACAAGTTAATGCGTCTAACAAATGTGTACACTGATATAGCCTACTACGCCAAAACAATAAAAGTAAGGAAATCCAGACAAAAAACGTGAAAGAATGCGGATTAAACCTACCGTATCCCGTTCTGTGTCATCCTCCGACGAATTGTTCTTTCGCACACCCCGAACACCTGCGCGATGTCCCCAGCGGTGTGGCCCCAACGAAGATGTGCTTCAATAACGTTTAGGGGCAACATGTAAGATGGACGCCCAAGGGTCGCCTCCTCTGTTTCCGAGAGGATTTCAAGTTGGCGGGCAACCTCTTGAAGACTCTCAAACACAGCTGGGTTAACATCCACATCCATGTCGAGCTGAGCCAAGTCCTCTATACATCGTTCCACACGAAACTGGACATAGTCTTTTGGTTCTCCATTCTCTAAATGGTCCGCTAATGATCGTAAATGATCTCCAATGGCTCTTAAATCAATATCCATAAATAAACCTTACAACTGTGGATAAACCATGGATGTATAAAGATAAGGGCTAAACAGTAAAGCTCCTGCATTCGAATCAGCGCGGTTATCCAGGCGTTAGTAGTAGAGCCCTCTGCCAGAAATGATCACACACTCCTGTAACCAATCCTGCTTCAGACTGAGGTTAGGACCGCCCACCTCATTAGCATACGGACACATAAATAAATAAATGTATGTCGCGTAAATGTAGAAATAAATGAAAGATATATAATAACGTGTGTTCTGTTTTATTTTCGACTTTTATTTATTTATTTATACATTGATGTATTTATTTCCATATTTATTTATGCATTTATTCTTTTATTTATTTATTTGTGTATTCATTTCAACATTTATTTATTTCTGTATTTATTTCGTCAATTATTTATTCCTGTATTTATTTATTCCTGTATTTATTTATTTATTTACGTATTTATTTATTTATTCCTGTATTTCTTCATACATTTATTTATTTATACTTAAGTCATGTTCCGTCCTCCATAGTAATCACTCATCTGGTTACGTTATTACATTGACCACCACACCCCCGACCCAAAAGAAAGGACGTATTATTGGCTTCCCCTAATTTTTTTCCCAGGCCACGCTACTGAGATACATAGAGACAGATAGGGACGAGCTGGAAAGACATGGCCCTCTGTGGGCCAAGAGTAGAACGTATGTATGTCTTATTGTTGTTGTTTTTTTAAGTGGAGCCAAGAAAAAAGAGAGTTGCCTCAGGAATGCAAGCTTTGTTTCTGTGAGCAGTCAAATGGAGACCACATCTATAAAACTAGTCAAGATGACCCTACAGCCCGTGCCGACTGGAGTCACCTCTAGACTGCGAGAGTGCCAAACTGACAACATTTATAACTCCCTTTGGTAGATTTTACTTCAACAGACCTTTCCAGTGGCGTTTCTAGGTGTACAAAACTGGGGGGGCAGAAAGAGGTCGGGGGAGAGAGAGAGAGAGAGGGGGGGGGGGGGACAGAGAGAGGGAGGAGAGAGAGAGGGGGGACAGAGAGAGGGGGGGAGGAGAGAGAGAGGGGGAGTGTCAAATTACATACTGAAGACCACAGGAGCAACACTGTGAGCGCATACATTTACGTACACAGCGTGGGGATGTCATAGTAATGCACCTTCATACATGGAGTAAAGGTCACCATCACAAAGTAATTCTTAACAATAACAACAACCGTAATGCTTTAGCATTAAAACACCATAGACTGTAAATATAAGGAAAACACAGACACTCATCATCGAGGTCCCAATATCAATCGATCCAGCAGAGGCAAAACACAGAAGATCAACAAAATATATGACATAAATGAACTTACCAAAGCTGAAGGCTCACTTGAAAAGAAAAGCGGCACGGCGGTCCTTCCTCTGACAGAATGTGTCTATCACTTTGGGGATGAAGTCCTGTAGTTGCTGGATCAACTGGCTTTCAATTGAAAGCATGGCCAATGCGTTAAGTCGCGGCTGTCGCATGGTGTTGCGAGTGAAAGTCTTTATCCTTTTGAGGGTGGAAAAGTTCCTCTCTGACTCGGATGTCGTCATCGGAGTTGTCACTATTATTTTGACCAAAATAACAGTCTCAGCAAACGTTTCCTCCAAGTTGTTCTCGTGAATGGATTTCAACAGAGACAGGGCAGTGTTTCCAGTGTGAAGCTCACTGTGGCGGTAGAGCGTGGTCAGCTCAGACTTCAACTTCTCCTTGTTTCCCAACGCAGGCCACAGTTTCACGGCGCAGTCAAGCTCAGGTGTAGGAAATGACAGGACATGCTGTGGGAAGAATGAGCTGTCAACAAGCTTTGCAGCGATCAAATGGTCACTCTGTGAGAACCTCTGTTCCACCTGTGAGATGACTGTGTCACAAGCCTCCTTCATCACCGGCGCTGTGCTGCTGACTCGTCGGCCTGGCTCGTCTGTTCCATCATGAGCAGTGGCGGCCAATGCATCAGTTTTCTGCCTCATTTTCTGAACATTTTCCTTGAAACGGCAGAGCGCGCTGTTGATCCCAGGTGCATCGATGCTTCGTTTTTGCAGAGTGTTGTATAGAACATCCACTTCTGGCATAAGCAACGAAAAAAACTCCAGGAGCTGCATAAATGCTCAGTCCCGCAGTTTATTTGACAGGCCGTATGCCTCACTTATGGTGACCGCATCCCATCCTGGTTGTGCGCGTATATGCTCCATACACTGAAGTAGTGCATCTCGGGTCTCCCAAACCGCGTTCACAGTTCTGCTTTTATTTCACCTTTCTTTATTGATTTTCACTTATACCAAAACAATGCAGGGCACATGAAAATGCAGATGTGTAATCATACAATTGAATTGAATTACATTTGTACATTTGTACCACAAATACAAATGTCCTTGCAGTACATATACTGTGCAAGCACATAATATATATGTATATACGCACATACACATATTCATAAACACCCACAGCTGCACTTAAAGAAATAAAATAATAAAATAAACAAATAATACAATCCACTAAAATAAACAGTACATTAAAAGGGAAGGTTGGGGGGGGGTGGGGGGGGCTTCATGCAGTCAGATTTGCACAGGGGAGTTTGCTAAAATAGTCAAGGAAAGGCTGCCAGAGCTTGTAGTATTTGTTAACACATCCCTGGCTACGATACCTCAGCTCCTCCAGCTGCAAATGTGCCATCACATCCCTCACCCAGTGGGCGTGAGATGGTGGAGTCCGGTCTTTCCATTTGAGGAGGATTATACGGCGGGCAAGAAGGGTGACTGTGAGTGTGAGGCAAGTGAGTGTGACTGGCAATTAGAGAGGGAGACCCCCTCAGGGGCTACTCCAAACACAGCTATTATGGGATTTGGTTGTATGTTCTGGCCATACATCACTGAAAACGTTTCAAATATAGAAGACCAAAATGGGGCAATGGACTGACAGGAGAAAAACATGTGCAATAGGGTAGCCCTGGCACAATGACACCTCTGGCACGTGGGATCCACCTCAGGGTACAGCCTGGCAAGCCTGCTCCTGCACAGATGTAATCGATGGAACACTTTAAATTGAAGTACTCCATGCCTCACACAGATGGAGGATTTATGTATGTTCTCAGTTGCAGACCGCCAGGTCTCATCGGTTAGTTCTATGCCCATTTCTTCTTCCCAGGCACCCTTAAGGTGGTTAAGGGAGGGGCTAGAGATTTCTTGAATAATATTATATAGCTTTGAGATATAGCCTCCCTGACAAGGTTTGAGGCCAAGGCAGTCTTCCATCCATCCACCAGGTGGGGCGGCTGGGAAGGAGGGAAATTGTTTTCTTGTATAATCACGAATTTGTAAATATCTAAAATAATGATTCCTTGGGATGTCATATTCTTTGACTAAATGTTCAAAGGATGTGAATACCCCTTCATAGAACAGATCAGCAACACACTTAAGTTCCTTCCGGGACCACAGGTGGAAAGCGGAGTCTATCAGGGCTGGTTTGAAAGCCGGATTGCGAACTATGGGGATGGAGGAGATAGTTTGTCTATATCCAAAATGCCTCCTGAACTGTGACCATATCCTAAGAGAGCTATTGACCACAGGGTTGTTCGAGTGATATTTTCTACTAAGTGGTAAAGGAGCACACATCAGGGAGGCAGGGGCCAGTGGTTCACATGAGTGTTGTTCCATGCTAGACCAAATAGGACCGCCCCCTTCCCAGAAATGACTCATCCAGAATGCCATTTTATGGATATTGGCAGCCCAGTAGTAGTGTAAAAAATTGGGTAATGCAAGACCCCCCTCTGACTTTCTCTTCTCAAGAAATGCCTTACGCAGACGGGGAATTTTCTTATTCCAGATAAAAGTGGAAATATATTTGTCCAGGTCTTTAAAAAACTTTTTAGGGATAAAAACAGGAATTGACTGAAAATAATACAGCATACGTGGCATAATAACCATTTTAATGGTGTTCACCCTGCCCGCCAACGAAATAGGGAGCGACGCCCAGCGCTTCAGGTCCTCATTAACCTTGTCCAGAGCTGGTTGCAGGTTCTTTTTAAACAGGGTTTTAAAGTCCTGTGTCACACACACTCCCAGGTAGGTGAAAGAGTCAATGGCCACTTTAAAGGGGAGTTTGCTAAATGAAAGCTTGGCCGCAGTCTCATTGATGGGGAAGAGTATACTCTTGGTCATGTTGATCTTATACCCAGAAGCCTTGCCGAAAGAGGTGATTACATCGAGTGCAGCCGGAATGGACCTAAGCGGATCGGAGCAGTACAGTAAAACATCGTCTGCATACAAAGACAGCTTATGCGTATAGCCTCCCCGCTGAATTCCTGTAACATTTGACCGATTCCTGAGAGCAGCTGCTAACGGTTCTATGGCTATATCAAACAAGAGGGGGGACAGGGGGCATCCCTGCCTTGTGCCCCGTTGAAGCCGGAAGTATTTCGAAATTATATTATTAGTGCGAACTGCTGCCTGAGGTGCAGAGTAGAGGACCTTTATCCAGGAGATAAAGCATGGGCCGAAGCCAAATTTAGCAAGAGTTGCAAATAGGTAGTCAAATTCAATGCGATCAAAGGCTTTGTGTGCGTCTAGAGAGATGAGGGCCTCTGGAGAGAGTCCTGGATTTGAGTAAATTATATTATATAGACGCCGAAGATTCCCAAAAGACTGTCGGCCTTTTACAAACCCTGTTTGGTCCGGGTGGATGATTCTATGCAGAACAGTCTCAAGGCGCAGAGCTAAAGCTTTGGAGAGAATTTTGTTATCACAACAGACTAGACTTACTGGTCTGTAGGAGTCGCATTTCGCTGGATCTTTGCCCTTTTTAAGGATGACTGTTATTACCGCCTGAGCTAATGTGGGGGGCAGTGAACCCTGCTGGAGTGCCTCTGCATATACTTCGCGCAGCACAGGTGTCAGTTTGCCAGCAAATTTTTTATAGAATTCAGTAGGGAAGCCGTCCGGTCCGGGGGCTTTTCCACTTTTCATACTTTTAATAGCGCGGTTTATCTCCTCATTAGAAATGTCCCCCTCTAAAGCCGAGACACCGTCAGGATCCAGTGTTGGAAGCTTAAGGTCCTTTAGAAAGTTAGTTGTCAGAGAGTCATCCGAGACTTCTGAT